CGAGTGTTTTTCCAAACTAACGAATATCGTAATAAATTATTATTACTGATCAACACTCCTTAATTTAGAATTCGGGTTAAAAGCAATTAAGCTGATCATTTGGATTTGATTCGATATTAGATATCAATGCAGAAAAAATGTTAGTAACATTGTTTAATAATTCAAAATGAGAATCGTTATTCATGCCCAAATGACATTAATATGTGACATTAATTAATATGTGACATTAATAATGAAATTATTTTAATGATCAGAACATTAATATGTTGTGATCATTAAAAACTCATTGAGTTAAAAGAGCATATCCGATTTGTTGAAGATATTCGTCCTAATATTATGTTCACCTATATATCTATCTAGCTATGCATCTGAGCTACTGAAGGAATAATTTCTGCATCGTTGCATTCTATCGTTACAGAAAATTGTTCATGGGTCCGATTGTGCAATCTCAACACTGCAGGGATTTTAAAATGTTATTTTTAACCAATAATTAATCATGGAATTATTGAGCTAAATTATAGATATTTTTTACGTCATGGCCGGCGTATCAAACGAGAACTTTACTTGAATTTTACTTTAATTTAATTAATTATCTCAATTTGTATATTGTTATGGAGATAATGTTTCATGGGGGCTTAATCCGTGATTTTGAATCTAAACCCCAATTAAAAACTTAAAATTAACTCGGAAATACATCACACACCCGATATGCATGTTGTATGAACATATTGTTCGCTAATTATTCGCAAGGTGGCCGAAGTAATACGATACCGATAAGAAGAAAAATGAAGTCTAATCGCTTTTTCATGCTGTTCAATAAAAAATTACTCGCCATGATAGGATATTCATGGAGCCAACTTCCGGCACTATTATTTGAAAGTAGATCGTTAAAGATCAAAGAATATAGCAATAGAAATGAATGTTGTAAATGCAGCGTTTTTTTGCTAGCAATGTTTCAGTTTGAGTAAGCCTTTCATGAATGAATGGTCCTGTTAATGAATAAAATATGCATAATCACTGACGGTCATGGAGTCGCTCGTTATTTATATGAGAGGGTGCATTTGGGTGAACTTTTTTACACTGAACAATTTCATTTAAAAAAAATGCGTCCCGCATGATCGAGGTTTCTGCCGTCGGTCGAATGCCGACGCTAGAACTGAGGGGACATGTGCGATGTGAGGGCACCCGCAGGGTTCAGTGTCATGAACAATAGAGGCAGTTAATCAATTCCAGATCTCCGCCCCTGAACATTCGTTCATTGAGGGGCTGAGTTACCACAGTTAGCTTCGAATTTAGAGGGATTTTATTATTGTATGGAAATTTAATGTCGATGTAAATAAATTAAACATTCATAAACAGAAATTTGCATCTATAAAAAGAAGAATATGAGCTCAAATTCGGTTGTAGGTGAAAATGTGTATGATTGACTATGCTTCAAATACATCTGCAATGTTGAATACCTTTGTTATTTGCAATAGGAGCAACTTTATATCTAGTTTCTCCCGCTGCTGTAACCAAAATGCCTTGATGCTGCATATTGTATTTTCTGGATCTAAGTCACGACTCTAAAAATTAACAATCCTAAAATAGAGAATTAATTTGAAATATCAGCTACTGCCCATTCGGAAACAATCATTCGAATTCATTCTTCGTGTAAGTTAAGTCATGTAAACTTCTATAAAAAGGCTCCGAAAACAGAAGAAAATACGCATTTGCTAGAACCAAATGCTAATTCTAAAGCATATCCTTCACAGTAAATAGTCCCCAACAATTGCACAACGGGTAATATTAAATTGGATATAGTTTTGTTTGTAAGGTAGCGAGGGCAGCGCCTAGGCGTCGTGGCTGAGGCACTTGATGAGGCTAGCAGTGCCGCAGGCGCAGCGGGAGGCTGGCGAGGGCAGCGCCTAGGCGTCGTGGCTGAGGCACTTGATGAGGCTAGCAGTGACGCAGGCGCAGCGGGAGGCTGGCGAGGGCAGCGCCTAGGCGTCGTGGCTGAGGCACTTGATGAGGCTAGCAGTGATGCAGGCGCAGCGGGAGGCTGGCGAGGGCAGCGCCTAAGCGTCGTGGCTGAGGCACTTGATGAGGCTAGCAGTGACGCAGGCACAGCGGGAGGCTGGCGAGGGCAGCGCGCATGAGGGGAGCTGCTTAGCTAGCGGTTACCCACAGCAAGCTCTTCAGTGACTCACTGATCGCCGTGGGGACAATACGTGTCAGCTCGTTAATCTTATAGAATGTGTTATCTTAACCAAATATTATAGAAATTATATAAACGTGTCTAAGTAAGATTGACATTAAAATTGCATGAAGTACTGGTTCTGTAACGGGTTTCTACGAGGGTTGATTGATTACAACTTATAAATTTAACCGCGGGGGAGTGATTTTTTACCAGCTCCTAAACTTATGTACGAAAGAAGAAGTGCGTCACTAGGCGAGTATTATTTAGATTGAACTCTTATGTTTACTGCTTACATATTCATAATAATATATTGATGTAATGTTATAACACAGATTTATGTTCTTCAATTACAATATTATTAAAAACTATGCTCCAGATTCTCAAGTCGATTAAAATTTATTTGTTTGGTGAATATTTACCAATAATTTTACCATGAGCAAAAAAGATCAAATAATGCAATAAAAAATTACGTAAATAATGTCAAATTCTCTCATTCGTCCACGTACAAGGGCTTGGTATGATTTCTTTATGTTATCGTAAACATATTATTTATCATTAAAATCATGGCTCAACGTAATGACTCTTCTTAAGCTTAAAATATTTGGCATCATTTCGTACAAGTTTACCGACTGCTCTCAATAAATCTCGGCTTCAAAAATTCAAGCTAAACGAGAAGTATTGAACGCAATTTTGCTTTATAAATATAGAGAGCAAATTAAACTTAGTGGATTTACGACCTCAACATAGATTTTTCATTGTGTCGATTGAACGCTTTTCTTTTGAGTTAGAATTATCTGAGAAGTTACCTAACGCATTTGTCAAATTATATCAATAAAAAGAAATTACAATAAGGTAAAACCTATCTTAAAAAAACGTAAAAATAATAAATTAATTTCATCAGGCTATTGAAATGAATTGGATTGGTAACAAGATAATTGTTATTATTTTGCTTTGTCTAATTCTCAATACGAGTACATGCATCTATCTGAAATATCGGAAAGTGAATGATTGGGACAATATAATTCATTATAATACCCCTTACCAAATCTCATTTATAGAAAAGTTCAATAGTTTATTCCCAATTACAGTTCATTTATAGTTTTGCACCAGCGGTATAATTTTGCAAATAATGGCGCCAATTATAATACATTTGAAGGGTGAAGTTTCTAGTTTGCGAATGGATTAGATTTTTTGGGAGGCATTGGATTGCTTAGTAATCGATTTTATCCACACTACATATATTTGTTAATAACATAGACGTCTTTATATCAAGCCCCATCATACCGCTGCAGCTACTGACATTCCAGAACTGCTATCATGTTCATGCCCCGCGTACCCGGTACAAGGCTGCCTCCTAGTCCCCCCAAAAGCCCCACTGTGTAGGCCTTCTCTTACACTCCCTTCTTCCCCACATGCCCAACCCCGCACTGCCCCTCTTCCTGCCAAGCGTTTGGCGGGTATTCCTTCCCCCTCTCCTCCCCTTCCTCGCCTTTCTTTTTTTTATGTTTGTATCAAATTGCCGTCAAAACCAATAATTTTAATTTCGCTACTTTGGAGTTTTTTCAAAGTCATTTTCTCATGTAGATATTAACAAGGAAATCGATTACCAGCGTAAAATAGCAACATTTGAATATTATTATCATGATAATAAATAACGAAAATCCAGTAATTTTCCATTACATTTTCTATAAATGAGATACTTCCATTACGTTTTCAATAAATGTGATAGAAAATGTAATGTTGATAATGATAGAAATGCGTGTGTTGACGTTGATTGTACGATTCTCTCTCTTTTGAATAGTGTCAGATCATCAGTTGTACAATATATATATATTAACTATTTTGTTGGTAGAGGAAGAGAGACAATGAGCCGTTGTAGCAAGTCTTGTAATTATAAATGAATAAAATTAATATGGACTTTTTCGTTCTTGGTTAGTAGCACAAACAATTTTCAATGTAATATATTCGAAGAGACATTCCATCCTCATCCTCTCAGCTTCCCAGTTTCATTTTCAATTACTTTACAAGAATTTTTTTCTGAATGAATGAGCTCTGCGTTATGGCAGGAAAATTATATGCCATCAATGTGGAAGCCAATGGAAGAGGTAGTTCATCAAGCTACAATGAAGCTAATTGTTCTTGACAAGACAGTTATGAAATATTTGTTTAAGTCTATTATGCAGCAATATTATGTTATGAGCTTACATCGATTCAGTCCTTGACATGCAAGGAATAACTCGAGGAGTGTCTTGCGGTTGTTAGGATGTAGAAATACTAACGTAGGCAATAAATTTCCGAACCTTGAGTGCAACCTTTGAATCATGTAATGACATCTTGATAGACAAACTACACATCTTTATACGAGGATTGCGTCTGCTCTGGTATTCTCATGAATACATCCCTTGTTCTAGTGTCAAAGCGCGCGATCTTTTACTGGAACAGAGGCACGTTATGAGTTAATCGCATAAGAACATTCCTGCAGGTCTGAAATTAAAATAAAATCGATTGAATAATTAAATCGAGAAAATGTTATGTGCTATGCCTTATTCGTTCGCTCTCATGCTCCCATTTCAAGAGGCCAACCTGAGCTAGAATTGAGGCCTGAAACTCTAAACAGAACATGACTGTTTCTTCGGCCGGCGACTGTTGGTCTCCACTGACGTGAAAAAATGACTTCACTAACACGTAACGAATTGGAGCACCGAACTGAGGCTTGCTTGTAAACTGGGGCTTGAGGGGTGGGTTGACAGACGTGTGGGGAGTAGCTGTGGGCGGAGTGAGGATGTGTGGGGCTGTTTGATGAGGAACACAGACAGGCGTTGTATGAGTCAGTAAATCCCGCACTGTGTTCGTGAATGCGTCCAACGTGAGAGGTCAGTGTGCGCACAAGTCAGACAAGGACTTAGCTCACTGTGGCCAGAGGTGCGTTCTATCATCAGGCTTGAGAGTTGTCACTAATCAATGCTTGTAATTGCAGTGCAGTGAATAAATTTTGCGATTATTAGCGTGCATGATATAGACATTGAATTACCTATTAACAAACGATCCCCTGCGAAACCTAAACGAACTAACGATAACGTAGAATTGTATGAGTAAGGATTTACCAGTGTCGTTGGTTTGGCGTCGTTGATGTTGTCGTCACTGAGGTCCCCAGGCTTCATGTCCCCCACTCCTGACCGATGGAGTTCAACTGGGCTGTCTGGAACAGCCCTCGATTCAAGACTGGACTCTTCCAGCTTCAACAACTCGCTGGTATCTGGTAGTTATGCCAGCAATTCGACCAATTTTAACTGCAGTCCCGGTAGCAGTGGCAGTAATTCCAGTCTAACGGGGAGTGTCGGCAGTTCAGTATCGGGGAGTTGTAGCCCGTCGCAGCTCCTGAACTGGATGTGTCTCCTAGCTGCTGAGCATCGCAACCAAAATCAAACGCAAGGGTCGACGCTTAACAACCACATGTCCCCTTCCGACGCTCTACAGGTAACTAATGGAGTGAAATGACCTCAAGTAACACCAACGTCCTAGTATTCATAAACCTTGAAATAGTTACAATTCAACCAATTAGTCCAATTAGCGTTTCCAATGAATTTCCAGCTCCTTCGTATTTCGCATTCTCAAACTTTCAAAATAAGAAACTAGTGTAAATGAACGCTCAATTTTGATTTTTTTCTCTATTCAGAACCGGAAGGCAACTTCTAGCATCTGGAATAGTCGTAGCAACAGCAGCAGTGTCCTCAGCCCAAATTCTTACAACTCCAACTTAGACTCGGGCCTTGTCGGAGCGCTATCCAGTCTATCCAGCACCCAACACTCCAACGGCAGCTCATCTTATCTTAACCACAACAATTTTCCCTCAAATATCTCCAATAACAATACGAGCTTTCTGAATAACAACCTACGAGCAACGAGCGACATCAGTTCTCTTTTAAACCCTACGACTCCCAGTGGCTTCAACTCCTCTGGGCTCTTGAACGGTTTGGCAAACATGTCGGCTGCAGAGTTGGCCGCGCTATCGTCGCTCTCTTCCTTCTCGGGTCTAGGCGGCATCAACAGCCTCAGCTCTGCCCTAAACGGCGTCAACAATTTTAGCTCCATGAACAGTCTGGCCTCGTATCCTGATTCTGGATACGGTTATGGGTCGTCCTTCAATGGGTTACATAGCCCTGTGCACTCAACAGGGCTCAATGGCAGTATAGGTAAGTACTCCCTCAAATATCACGATATATTTTAAATAATAATACTTAACACTTTTTTAGCTGCGACCAATGTTTACAAGGTGTTGGTGAATTACTTGGTTGATGTAACTGTTACACTTCATTGATATATATTTTTCACGTTAGATATTTCAATTTTCTTTATGAATTTGATTGAACTATTTGCAGGCGAGCTGACAGAGCAGCTCAGCGAGCTTTCCCTGGCTTACGATCGAAAAAATAAAATTCGCAAGCTTCCACCGAATTACTTGTGCCATCTGTGCTTCAAAAAAGGACATCATATCAAAGAGTGCCCTCAGGTACTGACAATGTTACTGCATAAAAAAAGTAATTACATCGGTTTGTGAGCGACATTCTTTCACGTAACACCAACCTGCCCTACAATGATTCATACCATGATTTACATTAATTTTCATGGCTTCGTTATAGTTAAACTTCAAGTAATTACTCAACCTGAGCAGTTGCCGTTTCCAGCTACTGTAAACGTCTTCAATCCATTCTAAGTGCAACAAGCAGCAGCATGTAAATAAACTACAAACGGAAACAAGCTTTATTAATTAGTATATTACTTAACAATCGCTACGAAAATATTTCAAGCGAGATTTGTACGTGTTCCTCTCTCAGGCGCGTCCGAAGGGGGAAGGTCTGACCCCCTACCAGGGCAAGAAGCGCTGCTTCGGCGAGTTTCGCTGCACCAAGTGCAAGAGGAAATGGATGAGCGGCAACTCGTGGGCCAACTGCAGTCAGGAGTGCATCAAATGTAGGATTAAAGTCTACCCGCACAAACAGGTGAGGTTTCTGCTATATCTCCGAGACTTGATATCAGTTTCTCGTATAAGAATTATTTATTTATGTTGACTTGCCAAAGTTTGCTGAAGTATCGGGGAATGAGTTGAAGAGTGTACAGTTTAATTACCTATTCACCGAGTCAACGCCAATATTATTGACCAAAATTATATTCTGAGGAAAGAGAGATCTGATTTGAACTGTTGAATAATGCGTGCGGGAGTTAAAAAAAATTAAAACGAATTGAAAAAGAAATATCTTTTCAGTAAATAGAGACATTGTATTCTGTAAATACAATCTTTTATTCTAGAAAGACTCCTGGATGCGACTAAGATTCTATTCCAATTTACATCTAATGGATGAATTATAACCTGTGTCTCTGTCTGCAGTTGATGAATGCGAATTTAAAAAGTTTATTCAGATCCTGAATCGTCCAATTATGTGTTTGCTTTGTTTTTATAAATTACTGCAAATAACTATACGACCTGAACAGAGCTTCATTAAATCCATACTTCGCATGCCGGCATTATCTGTTGTTATGTACACTTACCTGACACTGGAGCGGTCAGCCAGGGCATATCGATGTTTTAAAAATGTCATGCTAATTGTTGTATCCTTAGGGAACATATTTAATTAAATAATTTTTTAATATCTAATTGCTTCTAAATTTTTTTATATTTTGTGCAAGCTCAACAGATAACAATGAAGCGAATTTTTAGGACGTAATATCACTTTATTTAGCTTTCTCCTTGATAAAAATAAGATTAGACTTGACTACAAGAAGCTTTTCATTAACATGTGTTTTTTATATGTTTTTATTTTAAAAGTCGGTAAAGTTTTAAATGTTAATAGATAATAACCAAGAGAAAGTTGATCTCCAGCCATTTTCCTTTCTCGTCACTTAACTCCAAAAATGTTTTCGTTCATCGCTCTTATGCTCTGCTTGTAGAGTTTGTACTATGTTACTCGTATTTTCATGCGAAGGTGCTACCAGCTCGCCAAATTTCACCTCAAAATTTTGATGTTCAATACAATTTTTCTGTTTTCTTTGATAACATTGACAGGAAGCTAAAGCATTAAATAAAATTTTTTTAACATTGAATAAATAAAGTGGCTAAATTTGAACAGTTGATTGCACGTATCCCTTCATAAGTGTCGATCCAGCACTACATTTAGCACTTTTGTTCTCTGGCCGAGCTTACTGGCCTCTAAAGCTTTTGATCTAAAGCTCGTGTTGCATTTTGTCGTCACCTCGAACAGCATATCATGCAAGACAGCAGCACCAGGGACTGCTTCCCTAAGTTTGTGTGAACCTTCGTCTCCCCTCGCAACCTAACACGGCGCTCGATCTCACGGCCTCGCGCAAGTATGTTGCCTGCAACTCTACTTCTATCTTGCACGTTGAGTCGGCTGGAGTGAGAAGCACGTTCAACCAGCTTTGCGGTGAACAATTCTTGCATTATTCCTTTATTTGTCGGGAGCACGTTTACCCCTGTATCGGCATGATAATACAATATAGTGGCACACAACTAGGATGCAAGCAAGCTTGTTGAATCACTACGAATTATCGCATTGAATCGACTGAAGTAAAGCATTTGCATGCGGTGAGAGTGCACTGTCAAGTTGATTGGGCATTTTATCTAATATAATTACGTATTCCTAAATATTTCCAGAGAATTTCCGCGTCGATGTAGGAATTACGGCAAATTTAAGCAAAGTATTTGGGAAGGTCGCATTTATATTCAATGCATGTTTACAGCAAGCATATGTTTTCCCTAAAAACGAATTATTTTAGTAACATTAGTGTGGAATTTGCATTACATAAGACTCATGCCACCGATATTTGTACGGGCCAAGGTATTTGGCCCATTACCTATAAGGTAATGGGCCAAAAAGAAAACTAATTTGATTATAAAAAGGAAACTAATCACAATGCTGCTCATTTCCTTTAAAATTTATTGTAGCGAATTTTTTTATATTTATATTATTATATTTATTGAAATTTTCCTCTCTAACATACAGTATTTAAACACCCAAAATTCGCGGGCTTCTATCCGGTCAACGACGAGAAGAGTAATTTCCATATTTCCAGTGCATGAATAAACAAGGAAAAATATCTCTCATGAGCTAATCTACTGCCGAAATTTTGTGTAGCCATGAAGTCTCGATATTCGGGTCACTAGATATCTTCATTCCCTTGTGTGAAAAATGAGATGCAGCTGAGCATCTCTAACAACGTCACGGAAACCAGATTACCGATGCTCAAGTGAAATTCGATAGACGGTCGGCATTTGCTTGCTGTTATGCCATCTCAAAACATTTAATTCGATCCTTAAAACTGACTGTCACAAAGTTTGGATCCCGTCTGGACATTATGGCTTTATCAAAAACTAGAAATTTGCTTTGCGTACAGTGAAAGCTCTACTATAATCATTTACGAAATGCTGGGAATTGAAGGTTTTTAATAATAAATTTACCTATATAACAAAATTTAACGCAGACTCTAAAATTTATGCTTTTTGTTCTTGATAAGTTTCGTTAGTAATGAAATTTCGATTGCATGGTAGATAAAGTCATCGTTGAATCGTTTCGTTGTTGACCGCGACTCCTAATCACGTTAATCTCGAGCACTTGGCTCGAACGATTGCCAGCAGAATTTCTCTACCTAGTCAATGTTTTGTTAGCTTTTAACTGTTCTATTTTTTTCTTTTTGCGTTGGTTCTCTAAATCGGCGTTTCATTTTTGGCGGATATAAATTGTAAGTAAAAATATGTTAACCACTGTAATGTTTTATTTTACTCAATTTTTTCGTTTTAGAAATTTGTTTTGTTGTTAAAGAAGGCCCCCTTTTCTCCCAACCTAGAACTTTTGCAAGTTGATTCGTGTAGAATATATCTTATGTAACTTCATTGTAAACATTTCTGCGAATCACAAATACGATGGCCCCAACTTTCAACACCTTCAACATAATTCGAAAACAAGTAAGCAGGAAAGTGGGCCGTTTTTGGAGCATGCGTCAATATTGCAGCCGATCTCGCGACACTACCCTTTGATGATTGCGGTTGGCAACTTTGCCAGGTCAGAGGCTTAGCTAACGCTTCGTGCTGACGTCACACAGATGGCTTGCGCAGATGCTCCGATGCGCGGCTTTGCATCCCCGCGTCTGGCACTGCCACTCAATTTAGACCGCGTACTCTAAAATTGATTTCTTACTTTTTAATCGAATTTCTTTGTAAATTTCTTTGCGTAACTTTTTCTAGACGTATACATTCGTGTAGTTGTGAGTGCTTTATTCATATGCGTTGTTTGCTTTAACGAAATCTACAAAGTAGTTATGGCAACTTTTGCGTCTGACCGTACCACGGAAATGACATTGTTTTCCCTTGCCTGTCTCTGCAGATGCTCTTTATTCATTTCCTCAATTAATTCTTATCACCCGCTAAAAAGTATCATAAACTTTTGATTGCACGTTCAGTTTTTTCACTGTACTTTAACTACTTGAAAGGCATGCCTAGATTTAAATGAACTACAACATCAACAAAAATGGCCTTAGATTTCTAGCATTTAAGGTTTTCATTTTCTAATTTACCCAACTTATTCGACCTCCCTTTTAGTGCAATTGATTTTCCAAGTACATGAGTTAAGCGGTGTAAATATCATACCATTTACTGAAACCATGCTCCGCTTTTTTTTATTTCAGAGACCTCTCGACAAACCGGATGGTTTGGACGTCTCTGACCAGTCGAAAGTTCACCCTCAGCATCTCTGCGAAAAATGCAAGAGTCTCGGCTATTATTGCAGGAGGGTGAACTAGAGTATTGGTCGTTTGCGCATATTGGTAAGCATATGAAATTTGTTGATTATCCAAATCGCATCACAAGACGTCGGCTTAATTTCCTCGTTGCTAGCTTATCCATTCCTCTCGAATTACCGATGCAGCCTGATAATTAAAGTATTTTCTGAAAACCTGCAAAAAAACTTGAAATATCATGCCAACTCCCAAAAGTTGAAAGAGTTGAGTCGGCCTAAGTTGAAAATGCATTCGAGTGCAACGTAGATTGAATATTTCTAAAAAAAAAATAAAAATTATCAACTGCCACTTGGAATCCACATCACGTCATTAGGGTATGCCATCTGGAGGAAACCTGGCTAGACGCAAGAAGAATTTTTTTTCTGTACAAATGCTTTGTGTGTGTTCATGAATGAGTGAACGATATATTTTACGCACGTTTCGGATGATGCCATGAGCAGTACACTCGCAGCCTGGATATTGCGAGATGATGAAGAACATATATGTATTGTATTTGTATTTTTCTACTTGATAACTGAAGAGTTGATATAAGGCTTGTTTTGTGGATTTAGTCCAATTAGAAAGTCTGATGATAATTATTCTTGATATCGTTCAACTCGCTTTGCAACGAAAATAGTATTAGAAACGTTTCGATTTAAAAAATTTAATTTTTGAAGCTTCCGCAAATACCCATAACAATTTGAGCAGCACGTTACATTGCTCGCAGAATTTTATTCCTTAATTTTTAGCGTCATTCTTTAGAACCATTCCTACACCAGTGGATGCTTACTATATAATGACATCATCGGCGTGTGTCAAAACGGAGTATCAGTCGTTTGCTTAATTAGGTGCTATAAATATTACACTTACGAGACGCTTCCTCAGTAAACGTACGTGACTTAGATTGATTAATGATAAGCTTAACATGCCTGAGCATTAATTGCATTACGATTGAGCACTATAGACTGCCCCTAACTACCTGCAAGACATAAAGTTATCGTCAAACTTGCGCACCGAATGGATTTTTTTGCTCCATGAATGGAAACTGTAAAAGTTCTGGCCGGTACTTCTTAGGAAAGATAGAAAAAGTTTGTTAGCTTCTCCGAGTGGTGAAGTGCTGAAAATTTTTTAGGAAAAATCTTCGTCGTTTTGGTGGGGACAAAAAAACAATTTTTCATTTAAAGAAGCAAATCTTTTACACGGGAGCCTTTTTTTACTTTCCAAATTCAGATTGGTACTGCTACAAAATTATTTATATCATCGATTACTCAATTGTGAAAGTCTACGGGGCCAATTAGGCTGCATAAAACATAAAAAAACAAGTGGCACACCAGAGGCGTGCAACAGGCCATTTATAATTTCCTACGCAATCTCAAGTAATAATGTGTGCTTCGCATGGTTCATGATGAATAAATTAACCAAATCATTCTTCAGCACCAATTTTTGATCAACTTACTCAGTGCTAGACATATTTTAAGGCTCAGTGAGGTAATGGGTTGGTTGCACCGGCATATTACAGCATGCTATTTTGAGACGATAGTGTGGGGCGGTTTTGTAGCTTACACGATCAAAGTTGCCAGCAATGAGTTAGTCCTGCAGAGTCGGCCTAAGTTGAAAATTTGAATTTCCCAGTTCGATTAATTTTCACGTCCTGATTTTGGTCAGGCTCTGCCCAGTCGGAAAAAGTCTCCATTATACAATTACGTGGATTTTCAAAATGCTGTAAACTTGCTGAATAGAAAAAAAACTTTTTGTTGACTGTTTCTATTACAGATGAAATTTGTTCTTTCCTTGCAAAAAAAGAGTAAAATTAACATGTAATGGAGCTGATTTATTTAATGAAGCCAAGGGTAAATCCTGAGACCGAACTGATTTAATTGGAGTGAAGTTGTACGTCTGCGTTTTTGACTTCCGGACGTTTCAGAAGCGTTATTTGGTTGTTAATGCTATGGTATCTGGTATTAACATCGGAGATGAAATGTTATAATTAAAATTAGATTTTAATGCATCAAATACTACCTGTTTGATTCACTGTTCTTCTTTTATTATACAGTGAGGCCAGTTTTCTATAATATTCGTGTACTCGATAAATGTTGTCAAAAAACTATGGTGTGGGTAATTCGACAACAATTTAAAAATATCGAAGCATGTATAATTTTTGCATAACCATGATGTGTATGATAGTTTCAAGTATCATGCGAACAAATTTATATTTTTTCAGGTATTTTTTACACTGAATTTGAACGCTTTTAGCGCTCAAATTAGATGGTTTAAGTGTTTGTATATACTATGGTGTTAATTGTTCATATCCTGGTCGAAATGTTTTATGTACATTTCTGTTTCTGCCTTCTAAAACGCGTTTTCCAGATCCTTCTAGTTTAGTGGAAACAATTAAAATTCACCCAAGGAATATTGGGATGGAGCCAAAGCCATTTATTCGTATTTTGAGAGTCTGTCATGCTAATTTAGAGGTGCCATATAATTATTGTTCGTTTGAATATTCCAATTATCTTGCTTTGTTCGCTGTATTTGCCGATGTGTGAAGTTTTCATGTTATTATCTGAATTCCCACGTACGTACGTACGCATCCCACCTACGCAGCAATCATATGGTTATAAAAAACAGCTTTTTGGGATTTTTAGTGCGTTTCTTTCTTCTGCAACAGCACCTATAGAATCATGTTTGGATACGCATGTGACTTGTATTGTGTTTTATTATAACTTTTAAATAATTTTGCATGCCAAGTCATTGTTGGTTAAGTTAGTGCATCTATGCATATGCTCTGTATAGTTTAACTTAAGAATACCGTTAAATTTACGGGAATCATTAATACTATAGATTGACGTATAAGTCATATCAACAAACAAACGAACAAACAGACAAGCAATTTGCCTATTTCTAGATTTTCGAATATGTAGTCTAGCCACATGTTATTACGCATTTAGGGTCGTTCAAAGTTTTTTACTTTCTATGTAGGTATTTAGATTAGCTAGATTTCAGCTGATTAGTAGCATATTTGAACCTGGTCGAAATTTTTTTTATATATGGGTAACATTGAGTGTGTTTGCATTTTTTAGTTTTTGTTAAACCATAATTTTTGTAAACTTAATGTACAACTTAAATTATTTCGAGTACGTTGTCATCATTCAAAATATTAGTTAAGAACATAGTAATTTTAGAATGTAGTATTTTAATGTTACTTCTGCTTTTGTTCGCAAATGGATTCCATTATTATTGACAACATAAAATGGATCGTTCATAAATAATGTGAACATCCTCCATAGCTTCCTGAACTTGTGAATTCGAAGAAAACTTCCCTGCAGAAAAAAATAACGACAATTCTTAAAATTTTAGTTCTGAAATTTAATATCTTGAGTTGACTGTACTCTTCATATAAAAAATTATAACACAAAGGATCCTAACTTACAATTTCATGCACTGTGCTCTATTTGGTCTCTCACCGTTACTGTGTTGTTGCTTATGGAGTTCGCTTATATATTATCACTCTCATAACTTTTGTGATGGAATAATAATACGATAGAGAAATTCCAGTTATACGGAAACTGAGTTTCATCGTCAAAAGCATCTGAAATTATCAAATAGCTTTCAAATGAATGGACTCTCCATGCGCAATTGAACCATCCAGTCCTTGGTTAAAAAATAAATGTATTTAAAAAGAAGTGTTAAATGCTAAATTACATACGAGAATAAACGCTTGAGGAGGTAAAACGACGTCTGTCATATGGAATTACAATTTTTTCTATGTGTTTATTTCTTCATCGCTCGTTTTATTCATGATGAAATTAATGATGGGTAAATTATCTTTATGGACTCGTGATGTTAAATATCGAACTAACCCAACTCTTTGTATACGTTATAATCTTGTATGACTTAAATGGAGTCTGCTAAAGAGTCATAAAAGATATTTAATCCACAAATTTTCGAGTCTTATAAAGGGATGGCAATGAAGGGATTCTATTACTGGATTGAAAATTACTTGCTAGTTCAGTGACCCAGTAATAAGGTTATAAATATTGGCCAGTGCACACGTGGAGTAGGCAAGTTACCCAGCAGAATGGAGGTCTGTTAGTACCGTGTCAGTTGCTCAGTTATCTTTGGAGACGAAGCCTTTGATCCTTTCAGAGCAACAGCTTCACAATGGAAGTCTGTCTCGTCAGTATGGCCTTTATTGATGCCTCTCCTCGGACCATATATATAGTAGTTTGTGTCCTCGCTTTCATCACTTAAAAAACTGGAGAAATTTTGTTAAATTGATCAATATGTTGATTGATTTATTGTTATGCTATTAAAAACAAGCGGAGAAACAACGTAATTCTTAATTCCTAATCGCCTCCATTTACATAAATATTTCTCTCTCTGCAATTTGCCATATGAAAAAACATTCTAAAATCATTTATATATAAATTTTTTATATTTTTTTCGTAAGTGACATATATCATCTGACATATGAGGGTGAATTTTACTAAATTTTTCACATTGTGAGTAATCCTCAATGCCTAAAATAAAATTCCCTTTATGCAATGCTTATTGAATTTCCATACCAATTTCCAACTATTGTTTGTTGAAAGAGAATTCTTTTAGTATTTTTAAAAATAATCAATCGCCCAGGAGGGCTAAGATTGAGCATGCAGAATCTCAGGTGCTATTACCTTGTATTTATCGTGCCTATTTAATGTAACAATAATGATTCCGATGTGAGTGTGTGTATTTTTTATGGTAATTCTAGAAGCTGGTAGGAGGGCTTATTAATTTTGTAACATATATCCTGTAGAAATTAAGTTTTATTCTTTAACTAACTATCTTGCATTCGTCAATGGTGGCGTTGCTCGTGAATCACAATCGTGCCTTATTCGATTTATCTTATTTTGTATAGGAACATTATTTGTAAATAATACGCTTGACCACCCACGTACGTGCGGCTTTGCGATGGATTGTCTGTACTAATGTCTGTTGGTGACCGTAAACATTGATATCTTTTGGATGACTTTTCCTTATCTTTCGTTGGCCAATTTTATCTAAATGCAACATAATTTTAGGGTCGGAGACAAAATCTGACATTGATGATCCGCTCTCGTCATTGTAAAGTTGCAAGGGTCTTAGAAAAATGTGACATTAGATCATCACGGTGGACGATTCAGTATACATCACACTCGTAATTCTCGTCATTGTAAAGTTGCAAGGGTCCTTGAAAAAATGTGACATTGCACCATCACGGTGGACGATTCATACTCGTAATTCTCGTAATTAAAGTCGTCATCTCGTCGTAAAGTTGCAACAGCACTGCGCTGGTCTGAGAAGGGTAACGCGAGGGTAAGCCAGACCCGACCAGAGGGGCTGAGACAGTGTCGGGTGGCAACGTAAACAAGAAGGCTGTGGTAACATCTCAGCCGACCATGGATCCGCTCAGCCTTCAATTCACAGCTTCAGTAACAAATTTCAGGTACACAGTCCACACTTATGGAGATGCGTGTTTGCTATGATTCATTTGAGGGATTTAGATTTTTCTGACAAGAATATTTTGAATAAAAAATTAACACTCATGAAGGTCATTACTGTTTTTTATCGCAATATTCTGGAAAGGCTATAGAAAGTCACAATAACGAAACCCGTGTTATATTCATTCCATGAGCCAGAATTTCGCCCATTCCTGCGTGCCAGATTAAACATCCACTTTATAGCGTTCGAAGAGTATTAATAGAAAGCAGTTTGGTCTCTTATAAGAGCATGAAAAGAGAAATGAGACTTCGTAATTCTTTATTAATTAAATATTGATAATTATTAATTCGAAGCTCACTGATATTGGAGCTTTGTCCACGTATTCATGGCATCAGTGACGATCAATGATACCGTGACGCGCTATTTAGATCATTCACGAGCGTTATGTGAATTCAAAAGTAGTAAATTTACTTCTGCGGTTCAAGGATCATAATTTTATTACGGGCTGTAGAAAAAAAAATGAGGATCACATTCTATGAATAAGCTTTTTAGTTGAGCTGAGCAGAGAGCTGCAGACTCGAGAGAAGCTAACTAACGACCAGCGAGGCTGCCAGTGAGAAAGGAACAAACAAATTTGTTATTGTTAGAGTGGCTGGTAAGACATTGGGTTTGCAGGGAACCAAGAACTCCCCAAAATAGCGTCGCTCCTCTTCGATGACTCGCCCCTGCTTTGCCTTCTGTTTCTTTGTACAAGGTGTGCCAAGGCTATACTTATAACTTACCACAGACAGAGTCATTTGAAAAATCAGATGAAATTGAAGCAATCTAATATTTAGGTAAAGTACATGATTAGCCAATCATAACTTATTCGTGATGAACGTTTCCAGAAACTTTTTTAAAGGCAGTAAAGTAATGTCAATCAACAAAATTCCGAATGTCTTGGTAAACTTTGGTGAGGCATATACAACTTATTTTTTCTGCTTTTGGATGCGAGGTGAATACTCGTAAGCTTGTCCTGCACTCATGTCTAAGTCATGTCACGTTTATGGGAGTAAAATATCGTAAAATTGCTAAAACAACAGGTGTGGAAAACTTTCATAAGTATATGCAGGTCCCGAATGATTCGATTCGAGTCAACAATGTTAAATCTTCAAAACCAAATTGAGTTCTGAGCATGGTAGTGAATAACAAAATCTGCTCAGTTTTTAGATAGCGCTCTAATAACCAGATGTAATTTAATTGCTATAGATAGAAAATTAGAATCAGTTTTCTGAAATTTATAACTTACTTTATTTATCTATTGTTAAAGATGTTAATTGCATTTATTTTATACCATTGAAATTCGATTTACTTTGATTTGAGTATTTTTTTATACCACATGCGAAACGGCATTCGCAAGAGAAGTTCAAAGTCACTTTCAAAATCATATTCATTTATAGAAGACCCACTTGAAACCGTGTGGGGATTCTGTGAAGCCGCTAGGAGGTGGTCTGGTGAGCAGCCCTCGACGTGTGGCAGGAAGCATGAAGAACACAACTGACCACGCAACGGCCGCGTGTAAAATTGTCCGCGTCCCACAAGAGGGCGCTGAGTGGCCGGCGGTTGGCCGGCTAGTGCCAGCCACTGAGTTACAATTAGAGAGTTTCATAAGCTCGTGGTTAGCATGAGATGCTTCGTCTGCAGTCAGAGATTTGATATGGTTAAGCAAGAGTGAAATCTTTGAAATGGAAATAAAGCATTCAATAGCTTTATCATGCATGTAAAGAAGCTGCAATACGGATCTGACTATCGCCTGTGTAATCATCAACATCCAGTAAACCGCAGATCACATGCAACGTATGAAATGTTCCGGAATTCTTCAAAGCCCAGGTTCACACAGAAATAAAAAATTGAGTTTCTTTGAGTACTGAATCGTCACTTGTCATTAGTGAAATAGTGAAAAATAAAGTTCTAACCTGCAAGAAATTGACTAAAACCGATGACATTTTTAACAACTCCGGTTGATGTATTAGCAAGACTAGTAGGATCAAGGTTGGCAGTAATTCGTCTTTGAGGAGGCATTCAATATAAAAAAACTGGTATGCTTTACGGTTCACTATAAGTATGCTGCATTGAAGCTTGTTTTCATGCCATACATAATGATACATTATGAGGGGAGTACTTTAAACTGGGAAAGCTAAGTCTCGCTCAACTTCGTGCACACATACATAATTACGAATGCTCGAAGCTGCCAAGGCTGTACTTAGAACGAGAACGTCCCAGCCACAAAAACTTCAAGTGCAATTAACATTGGTTTGAGGTTCGAAGAAACGTGGTCATTAAGCCATAAACTACAAAATTGTCTAGATTGACAACCTAAGCTATGTAGGAGAACTGGTATTCATCAAAAGCTGTCATGTTAATTTACAACTTCCACAATGATAGTTTTCATCATTATTTAATTCGTGGATTACATCTCGTTTGTTGAATACAATATTCGTTAATATCCACGAAATGTTTCATTTTATCGAACATGAATATTACTACTAATTTGGCAAAAACTTTTCAAGCTGCCCCAAACCTAATTCTATTCTACAACCTACAAACGTTGTACAACCACACTCAGGGTATATTACTGAGTCTACAAAAAAATAATAATAATACCCATATAGGGACGCCTGTCGGAGACCACCCCTGCTGCCACCAACCCGCCCGTATCTGTCACGTGTGTCGCATCAGCCTACGGTCGAACGGCCACTGAACGTAGGATGATAAATTTTGGCCATTAAGGTAACCAAAATTTACTTAATTGTTTAAATTAGAACGATTGATTGAATCATCGATTGTCTTTTGATCATTATTTATATGCCAATTTTTCAAGTTTATTTATTTCTCATTTGGTACCACAAATGCTAAAGATTCTCAATAAATTCATTAAATATAAAATTATATTATCGCGCCATGGAAATAATCTCTGAGCCTCTGGAGAATGTGGAGAAAATTCGTCAGTTATGATATCTCAAAAATATAATTGTTTAACTTTAACACATAAATGAGAATGTTTCTTTCAGAGAGAAAAAACTTTTTTGGGCTGACTGTTAAAAAATTATCTTTTGACTATCTTGATTCTAGAAAATTTTGGAGGTAGGAGACTTTAGGACCACTTAATTATTAACGAAGTTAGATTTTCCCAATATACATGAGATCGAAGCAAGGAAAATTTATCCCAATAAGGTATTCCAATAACTCATCCAGATACAGTGCCAGCGATATTGATCTTCGGAATTATTTCGACAAGAAACTTGCAACTCTGATAAAAAAAAAATTGTGTAGCTTTAACTCCCGGATTGTAAGTGATAACGAACCAACGAACCACAGTACAGCTAATTTTTTACAAAACGTCTGGTGAGATTAAAATAAACGTAGCAATGATTAATCCCAACACTACAGTGAAATATTTGAGCATTAATTACCATTAATACAGCTCTTGAGAGTGATGATTGTACATAATGAAATGGTGCTCAATCAATGTCCCGCTCGATTTACGAATATGAGCAAAAAAGTCGATGTAATGTCGTATTCGTGTCAAGATTAGTTACTTATTTCGAATTTTGCTATTTTGCCATGTACTATACCTTCTTTGGAAGCTGTCAAGATTACGACTAGTAAACACAAAAGCTACAAAGCCACACATACATACAAGGCAATAAAAATTATTTAATAGAATTAAAGCTACTATCGTTTCATTTCGGCATGTTTTTATATCGGTATCAATACTATTCGCCTACCTTGGACGGATCTAATTCGACGTCTCTTGAAGTAGTTGAGAAAATCCGGAATCTTAATGAGCTATCTTTTCCCCTTTTGCTGGGACTCTCACCCTTTGCTTCATGTTGCTGCTGCTCATTTACAAACAGTACCCGAAAAAGTGATCATATGTGATAAGATCTGCTTATTATTGGTAATTATTTACATAAGAATTTATTTTCAGTGGGCAAGGTATGCAGCAAAGTATGTAACAAAAAAAATGTTTTTTTTTTCTAATATTATGTATTACAGAACCTTTGAAAGGAGTAAGGAAAGTGAATTTTTGGTCTTTATAGGGGTAACACAGAAATTAGTCGTTCTACTCATTACATTTACCAATTAAATGGATGCGGTAGATGCGGCCACTGTAACTTCCAAACGCCAACCGCCGCTATCTATAACCAAGCTATTGGCTCCGGGTAAAGGATTTACTGGCTATGGAAGGACCCAGTAATCCACGAGACCATGTAGCACGATAATTAATTTCTCATTCTAAAGTTGTAGTGGCCGCCACTACTGTATTCGTTTAACAGTACCCTTACTTGTACTCCCACACTCTAATGTGTTATTCCAAACCCATGAAAAATTATTAGGAAACTTGGATGTCCATACAACCGCTTCTGACTTAATTAATGACGGTGACTCATGTCCTGTCTGTGATGTAATTAATGACGGTGACTCATGTCCTGTCTGTGATGTAATTAATTACGGTGACTTATGTCCTGTCTGTGATGTAATTAATTAATGACGGTTAT